TCTCTCTCTCTCTCTCTCTCTCTCTCACACTCTCTCTCTCTCTCTCTCCTGCCAAGAGAAAAACACCAGATTCTCATCTTGACCTCTGAACGTTCAAGAATGGTCTCAGTGCCTTGAAGGCCCCTCTCGCATGCTCCTTGCCCTGGGTCTGCACAGCGCCACGCTGTTTCTGCATGAAGAGCATGCATTCGTCATCTCTCCACAGCTGGCTCCTTCAGAGAATGCAGCCCGGTGGAAGGCTCACCAAGGTCTCCCCTGACCCGTCCCCACCTGCCCGTGTGCATGTGTGTGTTTGCTTCCCAACACCAAGCAGTCTCGATCAGACATCATCTTGCTGGTCTACGTACCAATCTGCTTCCTGCACCAGCAAGAGCTTCCGGAGGGCCTGGGCCCTCACTCCCCGGACAGCCCTAGGACCTCACACAAGATTTCCCGAAGTTTCTGCAAAGTGAAAGCAGGCAGGCCTGTGGGCAGGGTGAGCCGGACTGGGACTAGGGTCGATGGGGTGAACGAGGAGTCCCAATCAAGCAAAGCTGAAGGGGTGGGGCTGGCCCTTGGACCCAGACTTTCTCTGATGCACGGTAGTGTCCTCACATGGACCCCAAGGGGAGTAAGTAGATCACGGCACCCTCTCAGTCCCAACTTCCTCGGCTAATGAGGCCAGGCCTCCAGACTTCTCTGCAAAGCCCCCAGGCTGTGTTCAGCAGAGGAGAGAATTCCACCAGGGCAGATGCCTGGCACAGTTGCCACTGGTCACCTTACAGACCATGGTGCCATGAATGCGGCTGGCAAGCATCTTCAGTAAAAGACCAGTGAGTACTTTCAGCTTTGCCAGCCGTCTAGTCTGTGTGTACAAGGCTGGATTCCAGTAACATTTTATCCAGAAAAACAGGCAAGGGACCAGTTTTAGGCCTGGGGCCATCGTTTGCTAGCACGTGGTGTTGGCCACAGTCCATATGTCCTGCAGGAAACCCTGAGACATTCGCCCCCACCGAGAGACGGGGGCCTGAAAGCTGCAGCCCCCCCCAGGTACACACCTTCCGACACATTTCAGGGAGTGGGACCATCTGTGGGCAGAACGAACCACCATCCCTGCCAACACGTGTGTGTTAATTTGCTGGTACCGCACTGAGTTTTCGGGGGGAGGGTTTAGATCACAGTTTGGTGGCTAGCCCTCAGTGATCACAGCATTGTCTGGCCATCTTGGGGCAGAACAGGACAGCCGCCACACCACAGAGGTTCTAGGTGTCCCCACCCCCACCCTTTGGTTATGTGTGTTGAACCATACCCCTCAACATAGGGCCTTGTCTACTCTTTGCCAGTGTGTGACCTTGGGTAGACCTCAGTTTTGTCATCTGGGGTTTGTGTGCTGGGATTTGGGGGTGACACAGAGGAAGCTTATAGCCCCAGTGGCCACTGTGACTACCAGAGCCCACCACCTGCCCCCTCACCCTCACATATTGTCCACTGGGCTTTTAAAAAAACTGTTGCGAAATAAAGAAAGCAGTGAAATCCAACTAATATGACCCAGGGGCTATTGAAAATCTTCCCTCTCCTTCTGTAGCATTAGAACATTCCCTGGCACGCAGACTCTGCTGGGTGGTGGCAAGTGCCTGGCTGAGAGAATCCATTGTTTTGTTTTGGTTATTTTAATCATTTTATTGGGGGCTTGTACAACGCTTATCACAATCCTTACATTCCATCCACTGTGTCAAGCACATTTGTACATTTGTTGTCATCATCATTTTCAAAACATTTTCTTTCTACTTCAACCCTTGGGATCAGCTTCTCAAGCGGGGGAAGGGAGGGGCGGGGAGCGAATCCATTGTGATTAGCCCATGTATGAGGCAGATGAACGGTGGGGAGCCCCAAGGTCAGGAACAGGAAGTGCCTCATCTGCAGACACGGCGCCCGCTCTGCCCGCCTGGCCACCAGAACTCATTCAGTTCTCACAGCTCCTAAGGGTTGCCTGGGCGCACTCCAGGGCTACAGGCTCCAGAGCCCTGCCTTAAGTCGGAGTAGGCGAGGCTGGGTACTTCTTACCTATGAGGGAGGGTGGAGCCTCTAGGGAGCATCATTAGACAGAGGTACCCTCTTCATTCTGCCAAAAGCCATTTGCAGCTCACTCTGGGGAGGGGAGCGGAACCCTCTGCTGGCTTGCTCAGGGCCAGCGGGTGGGCAGGGAACCCCACATTAGTGCCAGCCTGCAGCCATCTGGAGAGTGGGCAGGAGACCCAGGCCTAGGCTCAGACATCCTCAAGCCCTTCCCTCCGCTCTCCCCATCCATTCTGCTCAGCGCCTCCTCCGCACAGTCCCCCTGGGTGGACACTGGGCTTCTGTCCTCTGCACAAAGCCCTCTGCCTCAGCTGCCAAGTATGTTAGAAGCCTGGCTCTGCGGCCTCGCGATCAGGCTTTTGCCCACTTATGTGGGGTTCCTCCCCCAGGGAGGAACTCCAGGAATCTCCTATGAGTGGCCTGCTTCTGTCCAGTGCTCACGGTTTAGGGGAGCTGAGGGTACCCACAGGTATGGAGAGAGGTGAGGCTGGGCAGGAGCCACCCAGGGGGTCCACATCAAGGTCTGCTGAGCAGGCCTCCCTAGCTGCTTGAGGTAGGTTGAGCCCAGAACCCAGGATACAGACAGGATCCTGTACTTCTGTTTTTGTTGCTACCTTAAATTTAGGGGAGAAATATTTCTTAATATCCTAGGACTACTATAACCAGGGAGGCCCTGTAATCACCAGCCACTCCAAGTGATAAAAATGAGGCTTTCTATTCTCGTAGAAGAATTACCATTAAAAAAAAAAAAGAATTACCATCTCAGAAACCCACAGAGGCAGTTCTACCCCATCCTCTAGGCTAGGATCGCTGAGTTGGAATTGGCCCTACGCAGTAAGTAAGCTTACTGTAACCAAGGGATCTGGTGGTGAAGTGGATTACATGTTGCGTTGCTAACCATAAATTCAGCAGTTCAAAACCACCAGCTGCTCCACAGGAGAAGACAAGTCCTTTCGCTTCTGTACAGATTTACAGCCTTGGAAATCCACAGGCGAAGTTCTGCTCTGCCTTATAGGGGCACTATGAGTCAGAATAGAATCGATGGCAGTGAGTGGGGGTTTTGGTTACTACAACCCAACTGCCACAGAGTCGGTGCATTCTAAGAGCATCTGCTCCACGTCTCGGTCCCGGCTACTGGTCTGATCCTGGCTCCCAACCTCCTCAGCGTTCTTTGCAGCTGTACCTCCACCTGGCTCCCTGGCCAACTTCTGTGTGTACGCCCCACTTTCATAGCGCCCCACTCAAAAGGGATGAGGGCCCACCCTATTCTTGGTTGACTGCATATAACCCACAGCATCTTCAAAGATGGCTTTCCAAGCCAGCTCACATTCTCAGGCTTGGGGCAGCATTCAGCTTCTCTTTCTGGAAGACGCATTTCAGTCCATCACAGAGAGAGAGATGCCACCTCCCAGAATCACAGGAAATGGCATTTCGTTATACTGGCTGCTGGTTTGTTTTGTTGTTAACAATAGAACTACAAATTTCAGGTGTAGCTGGGCCCCTCTGCAGCAGAAACCTTATCTGGGCTGCCCCATAGCAGCAGGCATGGAGGTGACACTCAGAAATGTCCGGCCAACAACCTTGGGTTTGCTGGCTTGTCCACCGTTGGGACTCCAGCATTGCAGCCAGACAGGCCTAGTCTGTCCCTGATCATCCTGTAGGCCTGCAATACACAGCCAAGGCCAGCCACCCCAAAATAGCAGCTCTTACATAAGGAGGTGTGGGCAGAGTGTTCAGGACGCCTGTGGTCTGACAGAGCTGTGGTATGTGACTTAAGGCACCCAGCCTCCCCCTTGTGCAATGCCTCCAGCCCCCGTACTGGGGCCCCTTCCCACAGGTGGCCTGACTTACAGAACTGCAGCTTGGTGACCCAGAAATACAGTATAAGCCCCTTGACCCATGTGCGAGGGTGCACATGGCGGTGTAGGCGCCATTCACCCACTTCCTCTTCAGGGGTACAAGCTGACTCATGCACTGTTAGACCTCAAGAGTTCTGAAGAGGCTCGTTCACTCACTAGCCACGCATCAGCACTGCTGGGGACTCTTCCAAACCAAGCCCACTGCCCACCAGCTGATTCCAACCTAGTGACCCTTTCTAGGGCTTCCAAAACACACATCTTTCTCCTGTGGAGTGGCTGCCAGGCTGGACCTGTTGCCCTGTCAGTTAGTGGCCCAGTTAACCCACTGTGCCACCAGAGCAGCCACAGAGCCTTGTAAATGCGTGAGGGTAGTTATATTCCAATAAGACTTGACTGACGAAAGCAGCAGCTTGACTGGACTTGGCCCTCCGATCATGGTCATCTGCTGACCGCTGTCCTGAGGAGGGAGTAGCTGGTCTTCACAGGAGGAAGAGGGAATGTGCAGCCAGCCCCAAGGGGCCCAGCTGAGCTCTGAGGCTCCCAACATGTAGAGGGCACCCCAACCAGGGGCAGCTGGGCCTCACGCTGCATGGCCGCCAGGGTTGCAACTTCTGGGTGCCACACCTGGTGGAGCCTCTGTGCCTTTCTTGCAAAGGGGTCCTGCTGTGAGGATTAATGGCTGGCAGGAGCACTCACGTGGTGGTGACCGTTGGGTACCAGAGACAGTGAAGGCTTTGGGCCAGAGGTTAGGTAGACTCAGATGCCAGCAGATCTGGGCCCCTCTCTTCCAGTAAGAGCTAGCATTGCTTGCTATATGTACCTGCGCCTCTCTGCACACCTGCACCTCTCCATAGCCTGTGCCTCTCCGTGCACCTGTATTTCTCCCTCCGAGGAGCAGACTGGAAGGAAGAGGAGTTACTATCTAGCAGCCATGCTCAACCAACAAAGCTCACTGCTTCCAAGTTAACTCTGACTCAGAGTGACCCTCTAGTCCAGAGTAGATATGGCCCTGTGCTGTAGGTTTGTGAGGCTATAAATATGGGGAGCAGAAAACCTCATCTTCAGCTCAAGGAGCTGCTCCCGGGATCGAACTGCGACCCACTACACCTCCAGGGCTCCCAGCGTGATTGGAGGGTGTTTCCCAGTTGCTCGCCTTGTGGCCAGGGTGGCCATGTTGAGGCCGTGGGCACCTGCCTTCCCAGCTTCTCCAGGGGAATGCAGCCTCCGCTGCCCACGCCCACAGCAGGGCTCTCTGGGCTCTATCCATGTGGCTACCTTCACCCCCAGGAGCCCCACATGCTCCTTGCCGGTGGGGTTGGTTGTGGGGGCGTTCTGATTATCCAGCTGATGCCTCTGTGTCTGCCTCTCTCCCCATAGCCCAGCAGCCCCCAAAGATGGTGGACCACCTCGCAAACACAGAGATCAACAGCCAGCGCATCGCAGCAGTGGAGAGCTGCTTCGGGGCGTCCGGACAGCCGCTTGCCCTGCCCGGCAGAGTGCTGCTGGGGGAGGGCGTGCTGACCAAGGAGTGCCGCAAGAAGGCCAAGCCCCGCATCTTCTTCCTCTTCAACGACATCCTGGTGTACGGCAGCATAGTGCTGAGCAAGCGCAAATACCGCAGCCAGCACATCATCCCTCTGGAGGAGGTGACCACGGAGCCGCTGCCTGAAACCCTGCAGGCCAAGAACCGCTGGATGATCAAGACCGCCAAGAAGTCGTTCGTGGTGTCGGCTGCCTCATTGACGGAGCGCCAGGAGTGGATCAGCCACATAGAGGAGTGTGTGCGGCGGCAGCTGCTGGCCACGGGCCGCCAGCCGACCACGGAGCACGCGGCGCCCTGGATCCCCGACAAGGCCACGGACATCTGCATGCGCTGCACGCAGACGCGTTTCTCGGCGCTCACTCGGCGCCACCACTGCCGCCAGTGCGGCTTCGTGGTGTGTGCCGAGTGCTCCCGGGAGCGCTTCCTGCTGCCACGCCTCTCGCCCAAGCCCCTGCGCGTCTGCACCCTGTGCTACCGCGAGCTGGCCGCCCAGAAGGGCAAGGAAGAGGAGGAGCAGGGCGGCGGGCCCCAGGGGCAGCTGGGCTGCCTGTCCGGGGCTGCCTTTGCAGCATCCAGTGGGGACGACGACGACTCCGACGAGGACAGGGAGGGCAGCGGGGATGGTGACTGGCCCAGCCACGTGGAGTTCTACACCTCAAGTGTCTCCTGGTCATCCTTCCCCAGCTGACCCCAGGCCTGCAGGTCACGTGGTCATCACAGCTGTGTTCCCAGAGCTGGCGGTGGCCTCCCAAGGACACTGCCCCACAGGGTGGGCACAGCGGGGCGCCTTCCTAACCTCTGCCCACCCCTAACCTGGGCCTTTACTGGATATCAGCACTCCTCTACCCCCCATTCAAGTGGTCATCTTTCCACTAGTGAACCCCAAACTCAAAGGCCTCTTAGAAATAAATGCCATTTCTCGGCCCTGTTGCCTGTGGCTGAAGCTGAGGGTGACCCCTTGGATCAGATAACCCTGGGCATACCAAGGGGGGGACAGGACTAGAATGCATGTCCCTGCATGCTCTCTGAGGCCTCCTGAGCATACCAGGCCCAACCGGAAGCCCTGGGGGCTCTATGAAACCAAGGCCTGCCCTCCACCACTGCTCTGCCCTCTCCGTGCCGGGCCAGCCAGTACAGTCCTCACCCACAGCTACGTTGCTTGCTGTAGGTGCCCCCAGCCTAGGGTGCCTTCAAGACCCTGCCCAGTCTCTCGTCTCTCTCTCACAGCAGGCACAGTAGCAATGCTTCCAGATAGGACTCGTACGTGCAAGGGTCGGGATGTGCCCTGCACCAGCTTCATAAACCAGGACGCGTGCTGAGTGGCTTGGAGCTGCTGGTCAGGGGCTCAGCCAGGCAGTGTGTCCCTCGTCTCTCAGTTGCTGCTGCCCTTCATGTTGCGTCTATGTCACCCGTGTGAATTCTGGACTTCACCCTGACCGTCTGAGCAGCAGGACCAGCGGGAAGCCAGCTCACCTGGCCCCTCCTGGGCTGCGACCTCAGAGCTGTGCTGTGCCTGGGTTAGGCTGTGATTGTGGACTGGCCAGCCTGGGTCCTGGGCGCCCTGTGCACACCCTATGGGAGAGAGGTCTCGGTAGTTATGACTGCAAGTCTAGGGATGGGTGCAGGGTGGCTCAGGGATACCGCATCGCCACAAGAGTCCTCTGAGGATGTCGCCCAGGTGCCATGGGCCTGTGGTGTTCCCTTTGGCCTGTGGTCTAAGCAACGGGAAAGGCAATAAAGGAGACAGAGCCTAGCCCTGCTGAGGTCCTGGCAGGATTTGAAGTGTTCTCCTGTGATCTCCTGGGGAAGGTCCCACCGAGGGTGGCTTTCACTTGGAAAACAGCCCACTCAGAGCACCAACCTACTGACACCTGGCCACGGAGTGCACAGTCTGCCACAGGCTGATGTAGGCTAGGGCTGCCAGGCTTCACCTATGGCATGCTGCTGCCCTGGAGGGAGATTGCCTCGTATGAAGCACAGCCATGTCCTGCCGGGAAGAGGTGGCTAGGAGGGAAGGGGTGTGAACCCAGGTCCGAGGTCTCCCCAGAATGAATGGCCTCTGTGTTGACTGGCCTCTTCCCTCCTTGGCACCCTGAACTGCCCCAGCAGGTTGCCACTGGTTCTGCAAGACAGGTGGCTTCCTGCATTCAGATCTGCTGCCCGCTCCTTCACCCTGAGGCACCGGGCCCTGTTAGTTTGGACAGGAATGGTAGATGGGTACCACTGGAGATGAGCCTGGGCACTGCCAGCTCTCACTGCAGCCGGCTGCCCAGAGCCCTCGGTAGACAGATGAGGAGGCTGACTGTGGGCTACAGCTGGCCGGGTGATCAACTGCTGGCACTTTAAGCCCCCACTCCCACCCCTGGATAGGCGGCTGCTGCCTCCCCAACCCTGAGGTATTCGGGCAGTGAGGACCCAAGGACTGAGTGCCCCAGAGCCTTTGGGGAGTACTGGGGACACAAGAAGCACACAGCCTGGTGGGGAGACAGGCAGGGGAGACATGGCAGTGGTGGGTGCCACCATGGGTACTGTGCACAGGGCAGGGTGGGGAGTCCCTGGGTGGTACAAATGGTTAGTGTGCTCAGCCGCGCTCTGGCTTTTCAGGTTCACCGAGAAACGAAGAGTGGCCTGTCGAGCTACTTCTAAAAGGGCACTCTCTCTGCCATGGAGTCAGTGCTGACTTGTAGTGCCCCCTGTGGGTTCCCAGGAAGTTTACCGGAATAGAAAGCCCAGGCTGTCTCTCTCGGAGCTGCTGGTGGGTTTGAACTGCTGATCATGCAGATTGCAGCCCGACGTGTAACACTACCAGCAGGCCACAGCCATTGAAAACCCTGTGGGCTCACCTGGAGTGGCACTTGGCAGAGCCAAGGCAGGGTGAGGTCACACAGAGAGCCAGTTGGAGAGACAGCTTTCCAGGCCCCAGAGACGCATGGAGACGCATGGCAGCTCCAGAGTCACTGAGGCCTCAGCAGGGCGTCCCCCTGAATTTGGCTTTCCCAGCCTGCCCCACCACTGTGTGGAGGCAGGCCTTGGAGGGGCAGTGGTCAGGCTGGCCTGTAGCCCATCCAGGCCAATGGCTGTGGGGCATTAACCCCCCACCCCCCCCACCCCGCTTTTGGGCAGAGGAGTCAGTGTTTGGGGTGGGGAACGGGGAGCGAGAAAGGACTGCGTTAGGAGGAATCACCCTCACGAAGTGGCTGAAGGGCATAGCTTATGAACCCAAGACCACCTCCCCTCCAGGGACCGTATCGACCGAGCTTGGGCCAGAGGCTGGCAGCCTGGAGCTGCTATCTCACCTACCACCAGTGGAGGCCACCTTCTGCCCACCACCATATGCTCTCACCAAGGTCTCTGCTCTTGCTTTGGTGCCTGCTCATTCCCTGGAAGGAAGGGGTCTGGCGCAGGGCAGGGTCTGTTGGAGTCATGCGGAGGAGGGCTCTGCCCAGGTGGGACCCAGGTACCAGTTCCCCTGGGCTGTAGCTGAGTGGCCCCTCACCACCGCCCTTATTCCCACTGTTGCCAGGCTGGGCTTTGATGGAGACACCCAGGTTGGCTCCTGGCCTACTCTTTGGGGTGCAGCTGAAAGGGCTGTGAGGCAGGGGCAGTCAGGGACACTCGGGCTCAGCTGGTGGACCAGGGACCTGATGTGCCAGGCAGGGTGACCGGGTTCTCACGCCACAAGCACAAAAGCAAAAGCACCCGCTGGGCCAGGCTCTGACTGCAGGAAGTATGGGCTGCTGGTGGGAGAGGTCACTTCTCAGAGTGGGGATGGGTCCCAGGACCCCTGTCATGAGTGGTGGTCATACAGCCATAGCTGTCTCCTGCCCCACCTCTGCGCTTGGCACCCCATCTGTGGTCTAGGTTGAGCAGCCTCAGGGCCCATAGTCTTCACCACGCATGCTTAGCCTCAGCACTTCACAGACCCATCCGATCTGTGCCCATAGCAGAAACTGGGCAGGGGGGATATGGGGGGGTTCCCCTCACAGTCCCAGCAAAGCCAGACCTTGTGCTTCTCAGGGAGCTTCTGACCCCATACCCACCACTCTGCTGGATCTGCCCAGGAAGTTGAGCCCCTGCTGAAGCATGCAGGCTCCCCAGGCGCCCTCAAGTCTGCTGGCTCCCCTCGCCACAGAACCCAGCTCTGTTTGGAATGTTCCAGTGCTGAAATCAGAAATGCATGTGGGCAGCAGAGGGAACCAGGCATTTCTGGGCAAAAACAAGGGAAAATTTCAATCCTGGGAGTGACATCCTGCCAGAAGTTTTTTCACCAAAGAGCAGTAACTCCCAAGTGGAGCAGGGAGAAGCCAGGGCCCTGGGGCCACTCAGCCATGCTGCCCAGAGGACCCCCTCTCTGCACAGCTGTGCTCAGCCTGATGCCATAGCTTCCCCAGGAACACACTTAGCAGTGGGATGAAAACAGGCTGCAAGCTGCTGCTGCTGCACAAGGGCACACACACGTTCTGCAGGTAACCAATTGCCACCATCTAACATGCTTTCATTTGGGTCCCATGTACTAACCATGTCTCCTAGGAGCCTTCTACCCTCCCCCCACACCCTCGTGAAATAAAGACTTTGGAGTCCCTTCTCAGCTCTAGGCCCAGGCAGCCACTTGCTATCTCATTTATGGCATGCCACAGAGCTGATTCCAATTCATAGCCACCCTCTGTCCGACAGAACAAAACACGGCCTGGCCCTGCGCCATCCTCACAGTTGTCCTGTTTGAGCCCATTGTTACAGCCCTGTCAGACCATCTCACCCAGGGCCTTCCTCTTTCTTGCTGCCCCTCCACTCTACCAAGGATGAGATCCTTCCCCAGGGAATGGCCTCTCCCTCTCGCAAATCAAAAGTGCCTGAGACAAAGTCGCGCCATCCTTGCCCCTACGGCGCACTCTGGCTGTACGTCTTCCAAGACAGATTGGATTGCTGGCAGTTCTCAGCAGTTTCGATATTCTTCAGCGACCACCTTGTTCAAGGCCTTCCACGTTCCTAGTCTTCTTTAGTCAGTGCCCAACGTTCACATCCACAGGCAGCGGTTGAAAACCTCACGGCTTGGTTCATGTGCACCTTAGTCCTCGAAGCAAGATCCTTGCTTGTCAACACTTTAAAGAGGTCTTGTGCAGCAGACGTGCCCAAGGCAATACGGCATTTGATCTCCCGACTGCTGCTTCCATGAGCATTGATTACGGATCCAGCAAGATGAAATCCTTGATGCAATCCATATTGAAGTCTGATGATCTTGATCTTCATCAGCAAATAATTCAAGTCCTCACTTTCAGCAAGCACGTTTGGGTTATCCGCATATTGCAGGTTGTTAATAAGCCTTCTTCCAATCCCAATACCACAGTCTCATAATTTACCTTCTCTGGTTATTTGCTCAGCACACAGATTGAATAAGTATGGTGACAGGATACATTTCTGATACACTTCTTGATTTTATTTTTATTTTATGTTGGGCATTTTATTTTTATTTTTAAAATAGTTTTATTGGCACATAATCCAGAAGAGTTGGACAATCATTACAATCAATTTTCGAACATTTTTTCTTTCTTGTACTCACGATATTAACTCTCCCTTTCTCCCCAACCTCCCCTGCCATATCTCTAAGAAACCATCAATCCATTAGTTCTGTCTCTATAGATTTACCTATCCTGGTTTTCATATACAGAAAAACCTGAAAAATGGAAAACGACAAAAACTAAGAAAATAAAGGAAAACCTCAATTGAAAAGAGAAGATTAAAGACTAGAATCACTTTAAAATGGATTAAAAGGGAGATCAAATGATAAGGTGTTAAATTTTCACCTAACTCAAAAACCCAAACCAAACTCACAGCCGTCTAGTCAATGCCGACTCACAGCGCCCCTACAGGACGGGGAAAACGGCCCCTGTGAGTTTCGGAAACTGTAACTCAATGGGAGTATAGAGCCCTGTCTTCTGACTACATCTGCCACCATCTACTTTCCAGTGCTTCCTGCATGCATCCATGGTTATTCATCCCTGGTCACTGGCCAGAGGGCAGTCACAGAAGGCTCAGTGCATGTGTATTTCCCCTTCACTTTTTTTTTAAAAAACTGAAAATAATTTTAAATGAGTCAAAGGGGAGATCAAGTAAGATACTGTATATACTCGTGTATAAGGGAAATCAAATAAGATACCATATATACTCGTGTATAAACCGAGATTTTCAGCCCATTTTGTATGCAGTTTTTGTGGTAAAATTAGGTGCCTCGCTGATGTTTGAGTCAGCTGAGACTCGAGTATATAGGGTAATACATTTTAACCTAACTGTATGTAAGGTAGTCAAGAGGCGCCAGAGACCAAATCAGTCAAATTTGAGCAAACAGGCTTTATTGGGGAGAAAAACCCAGCCTGGACGAAGTCTCATGGTCCACAGTGTCGCGGAGGGAGTCGCGCCCCAGGATACAGGGGTGGTGCTTATTTGGCCAGGGAACATATGACTGGGCTGTCGAGTCCATATAATGTAAAGTGGTCAGGGATTGGGAGATACAGGTATGTCCGGGTTTCTGGAATGTAAGGTGTCTTCCTGGTTCCGGGTATATTCGTAAGGGGTGCAGAGTGGCGGGCCAAGAACAAAGAGGGCACTGAGCCAAATGGGCCATGAACAAAATGGGCCATGAGAAAAAAAAAAACAACTTGCACAGCTGCTTTACATTAGCCAGCTCTGGTCAGCTCCGCAGGTGTGTGTGGGAGATTCAAGGTCATTTGCTGCTAGTTGTTTCAGCCAGCTCTGGTC